TCACATGTTCTGGCGGGAATAATGTAACAACTTGGAAAGGGTTAGTTGTAACGTATTATCTATTAAGTATACATTTATATGGGTTGTGATCTACTCTTAGATTACAGCTATGTGGTGCACAACGCCCGAAATTTCATGGCATAATCGTGATCCAGTTCTAAGTGTTGATATACAGGCTGGAATTTACGAAACTTCAAAAGGTGAAATTTTCTGGCGACTCGCAACAGGCGGTGCCGATTCACACGTTTTGGTAACATTGTGTAAACAATTTGCATATTAATTATAATATATAAAACATAATTAAAAAATATTTTTTGATTAGATATGGCATTTAACAACAAATGAAAGTGGAGGTGTTTCTGTGAAATGCGTAGCTGATTTAGAACGACATCAAAGAGCGGTGAACGTAGTACGATTTGCACCTTCAAAGGATATTTTAGCTTCAGGAGACGATGGTTAGTAACAATATAAGGAACTAATATGGAGAAAACTGATTAAAGTTAAAATACATTTTAGAATCAACTATTATTTTGTGGAAACAAAAGGATGATTGTGAATTTTTCATTGGTTTTGATGAAACTAAAGATAAAGAACAATGGACTACTTGGAAAGTATTAAGGGGACACCTTGAAGATGTTTATGATATCAGTTGGTCTGCAAATTCTAATATGTTAGTTTCTGGTTCTGTAGATAATACAGCCATTTTGTGGGATATTCACAAAGGACGTTCTATAGCTATATTATCTGATCATAAGGGTTTTGTACAAGGAGTTTCATGGGACCCTTGTAATCAATATATATGTACAATAAGTACAGACAGGTATAAATATTAAATTTTGATAATATTTTTTAAATCCTGAATACATATAACTTCTAATGCATTTGTAGAATATGCCGTTTGATTCACATAAATACCACAAAAACAATACAACGGGTTTATAAAGCTAAAATTCCAACTCCACCTGAACATTCAATAAAAGATAAAACAGTACACTTATTTTATGATGATACTTTCAAATCATTCTTCAGAAGATTAACATTCTCTATAGATGGATTATTACTTATTGTACCTTCTGGAATAATTGAACCTTTAGAAACTACAGAAAAAATATCTAATGCAACTATCATTTTTTCAAGACACAATTTGAAAGAGTAAGTTTTCTGTATCCATGTATTATATTATACAATAGATATGGTATCTAATTCCATTTCAGACCTCTTATGATTCTACCTTCTTTGGATGAATGTACTATTGCAGTTCGATGCTGTCCAATTTATTTTGAATTACAAAAAGGTGGTCCAACACCTGTGATAACATTGCCTTACAGAATGATATTTGCTGTTGCAACACAACACTCAGTAATCATATATGATACTCAACAAATTTCACCAGTTGCTGTAATATCAAATATTCATTATACTAGATTGACTGATGTTACATGGTAAGCAATAATTACTTAATACATTTTCTGAATGAAATATAATAAAATTAATTGTTTTATTTAATATTTTATAGGTCAAGCGATGGTAGGATATTAATTGCATCCTCAACTGATGGTTATTGTTCTATAATACGTTTTCAAAATGGTGAACTAGGTGAAGAGTACAAAAGACAAAATAGTACCCCAACAAAATCTACCACCATTAACAATGATTATAAGCAATCTCCAACAAAAAATGTAACTAAAGAACTTTTATCAACTACTGATATAGATAACAGTGCCATGGATATTGATATTGCCAAGTATGAGAGAACAGGTTTTCTTAATAAGAATTCAGAAAATTTACTAAGTCAAAGTAATAAGTTATCAGATCATACTAATGACCAAAAAAAAGAATTAAGTAATGAGATGCAAATTGAAGAAACTGAAGATATTAAATTAATTTATAATGAAGAAAGTACTATTGGAGGTACTAAAGAAAATATAAAAAATTCACCTCCAAAGTCAATAATACCTTCGGTAATTACTTGTAAAACGCCTCGGAGGGTACAATTAATTACACTTTCCAGTCCAAAGGGACTTAAAAAGGAGTAATGTTATATTCAAGATGTGACTAGAAATTGCAAAATACATATCTATATATACATATTGTTATAATATTCTCTTTTGTAATAAATGTTTAAATTATAAGTACTAACTACAACTACATTATTTGTGTATATTTATTTCGCGATAACATATTTAGTTTATCCCGTCATTTGTTCTATTGAATTAATTGCAATGAACAATCCTTACATTTTTAAATATGTACATAAAAAGCAGGATATATATTTTGACATCTTTCTTATTTAATATTTAACAATTTATACAATATTTTGTTTATTAGAATTTAACAAAATACATTTATAGTATTATAAAACTTTTAGTAGCATATACGTTTCAATTGTCACGAATACTATAGCATCAGCTTTGTCACCTGTGAAACTTAGAACATATTATACACCTACGAATAATAATATGGCGTATGACAGTGATCTGACCGTCCGTCCAGGCAGACAGTAGTCGAATCGTGCTACGACCTGACACGCTTTTTTCTTTTGAAAATTTATAGCACTAACGATGGTGAGTATTTTATTAATAATACACTTTGT